ACAGCATCCAACATCTGCAGGGTGCACCATGATAGACAGCATCCAACATCTGCAGGGTGCACCTTGATAGACAGCATCCAACATTTGCAGAGTGCTCCATGATAGACAGCATCCAACATCTGCAGGGTGCTTGTAGGAGCGTTCATGTAAATAATGTCACTGCTCAAGGCTTTACCAGGACGACGGGACAGAGTGAGGTTCCGTCCCAAGTCTTCACCATCCTTTAAACTCTTGTGATGCATCCAAACAGCTGTAAAGGTTCAAATGTTGGAAGACTTTAAAAAGCTGTTCCAAAAGATGAAAATATGTATTAACAACTCGTGCTCTTCTCGTCTGGTCCCTGAATATGATCTGCAGGCTACAGGTTTAATCCTCGTCCAGTTGTTGGTTGTAGCACCTAGCTTTGAGTAACAGCTGACGCTCTTATGACCGTGATCTTCTGAGCATCAGCTGGTGGTGACATGTAGCCCCTAATGGTTTGGGGTGAAGGAAGTGATTGTGCAGCTTCACAGTAAGACACAGCTCTACTTTAGGGGCTTGAACTGTCTCCAGTCTCACAAGCGTGTGTTGTTTCAGCCTCGTTAATGTAATAGAGATTTTGAAATTGGATTTCGAGCCTCTGTTAAGCCCTGCTTCCCTCTGAGAAGCCAGCTCTGAGCTAACAACAGCAGATGCTCCAGATATAGAAGCTAGAGTTGTGACATGTCATCTAAAGTCCACTGAATGCAGAGACACCGTGTCCTGTGAGCGCTTGAGTTGGACTCTTTCCTCAAGACACACTTTGGATTAAGAAAACACCTCCCAGTTTGATTGAGATAAGCTTATTCAGCTGTTCTGCATGCCCACCTACCAGGCAGGCTCATTCCATCAGTGCACGTTAGAAATAAAACACTTCACAAAGCTGTGGAGCAGCTTAAATGCTGTCCGCTTATTATCCTGCTATGTCTCTCTCAGTATTTGATCTGCTACTCATGCAGCTTTGGAAAAACTGCAACAAGTGCATCAAAACCTGTGGCTTCACCAGGAAAGGTTTTGGAAAGTGGTTTTGAAATTGAAGCCAGAAGATTTGTGCTAACAAACTCCAACCGGTGAATCGTGTTGTTGGGCCAAGCACCTTGAGTACCCTACTGTCAAAGAATGCTCACGTTCACACACATGCACACGCTCAGTTCTAAATCTGGGTTTGAACTAATATCAGCTAACATTTAGACTTTGATACATTCTATTACTTAATGAATGCTAATTGTTTATCAGTTGTTGTTCCAACTCTTAATATAAAAATAAGGGCCAGGCGTCTAAATTTCAACAAAGTCTTAAGTATGTTTTTATTTGTTGCATTGATCTCCTGACTTTATTTTCCAGCTGGAGATGGAGAAGATGCAGCTCCAGAGCCTCGAGCAGGAGCACCGCAAGCTCACAGCGCAGCTAAAGGACGAGCGCGAGAAGAACAAGCACATCGTCATGATGCTGGTGCGCGAGTGCAAGCAGCTCGCCACGCGGGTGGTGGAAGAGTCGCAGCGCTTCGATGAGCTCCAGGCTCGTCTCGACGAGGAGAGCTCCACCTCCGGCCGGCTGCAGGAGGAGCTGAGCACCGAGCGGCAGCGCAGCCAGCAGATGGAGGCCAAGATGGAGAAGCAGCTGTCGGAGTTCGACACGGAGCGCGAGCAGCTGCGTGCCAGGCTGGGCCGAGAGGAGACCGAGGGTCATAGCCTGCGGCAGCAGTTGGAGCAGCTCAGGACTGAACGGAGCGAGGAGAAGGACGGTGGCAACGTCGCTCCACCTGCTGCTCCCGAAGGGGAACCTGCCGTTGCCCACAGTGCACCACCCGAGCCCAAAGCTTTCACATCTGTTTCTGTTGCCACAGAGCCCATAAGCTCTCGAACAGCCTCTTGCCAAACGGACCTGCCCCCTACTGAGGTTGAGGGTTCTAAGAAGACCCCCCTCACTATACCGGTCAAACCGACCCCTGCCAACTATGTGGGCCTTAGCTTGCCCAAAACATCCGCAAGAGGGATTGTCCACAGCAGCTCAGGAGGTCTGGTACAAACAGAAAATGGCTCAGAGGGCCAGGCTCCCCATGTCCTACCTACGGGGGTCAGTCCCCGTGTCCAGGCGGCCCGCTACAAGTTTCAGGAACAGGACCAAAACGGCACAGCGTCCCAGAGTCCTCCAGCCCGTGACCTCTCCCCAACTAACCGTGACAACTTTGCAGCCAAGCAGCAAGCACGTCATACCGTCACGCAGGTCCTGTCTCGCTTCACCAGCCCCCCTGCAGGAGGTCCTGGACTCCTCCGTCCAAGCCTGCCCCACTCCGCCTCAGAGGGGGGGCCTTTTCCTGGCCGCCTGAGCCACCCTATTGGCCTTAAGTCGCCCACAGTGGCCAGGATCGACCGGGGAAACCCTCCCCCCATACCTCCCAAAAAGCCAGGGCTTTCCCAGACCCCTTCTCCTCCCCACCCACCCATCAAACTGGTGGGGGACAGCAGCCGCTCCCCTGGGGCCGGGCTAAAGCCAGCAACACCCCAGCTTCCGCCCAAACCTGCCCTGGACCTGGTCCCAGCCCTGGCAGCCTCTCAGGTGGGTGTCGGCCCCCCATCCTTATCGCCGGGGTCCAGCCGCGGCCCTCAGCAGCAGTCGGCAGCAGCATGTGCAGAGTGCCCCCCAGCCGTCAGCCTTGCCATCACTGTCAGTAGCCCCTCCTTCATAAACCCCCCCTCCATCTCCTCCTTCGTTAGTGCTCCATTGTCCCGTAGCCCCCTGGCAGCAGCATCAGGTAAAGAGGCTTGTCTATGCTCCGCCTCCCTCCGTTTCTCACCGCTGCCTCTTTTCTTCAACGGTCTGTCCAAAGTGTTAGTCCAGTGTAGGCTGCGCTCTCTGGTGATCAGCACGGTGAAACCAGTGCACGAACAAACAGCACTGACCACTTTGTTCCACCAGAGTCCGTGCTGCTCACTAAATTCTCTCTGTTCCACTAAGTCCTTCCGTTCGGGCTCCTCTGTTTCCACGCGCTCTCGTTAGAGTCGTGTCCGCGGCAGACGTGGTCAATTTCAGGTCGAATGTCAGGTGAACAGAAAGTCCAGGTACTCTCGTGGATTCTAACTGGTTGGTGGTAACCCCTGTCCTCTCTGAAGCTGGTGCCAGAGGCTGCTTTCTCCTCCCCTCCCCTGTAGCATGCCCGATCACTCCTCCACCTCCTCCATTTGTTCCACTAACCGTTTGCAGAATAACATTGTAAGCACGTTCACCGTGCCGTGCTCTGTGGTGTTACGACATGTTTGAGTGTGCATGACTGAAGACGACTCTCTGACTCTTGTCCCGCCCATAACTTCTGGTCTGCTCCAGATAATTAAACCAAACTTCATACACACCTGCATCGTCACAGACAGAGCGCTGCGTAACTTCAGCTTCAAGGTCAGGGTCACAAATCAAGGTCAAACAAGGTCTTTGCTGGTGTGGGTCATTGCTATAGCTTGCTGTAAAATTGTTGACGAGCGAATAACGTGTCATTTGAGTTGTGTTCAAACCTGAAAGACATTTTAAAAGATGTACAAAACTGGAACTGTCTTTAAATATACCGGTGAAATGTCACACGGTATGTTTGCCTTTTCAAGACAGCTGTTTTCTGCTGACGAGTCCTGACTTCAAGTATTTTCATCGTTTTGTCTTTTATACTGTTTTACAGAAAACAAATTACACTAGTCCCTCGTTTATCCTGCAGCCCCACGATAAGTGAAAAACCATCAAGTAGGAACAGTAGTACAAGTAGTAACTAGTTGTTTATGTTAGTGTATACATATATATATATATATATATATAAGGCTTTATAAACCCTTCCCACACTCTTGCAACAGCCTAAACAAAGTTTCTAAACGCTCTAAAAGAGAGAGCACGTCATGATCTCTGCTCGCTGCCTCCTCTCGGCCACGCCCACTCCTCCTCTGCAGAACGATCACAGAGGAGGGAGGAGGAGCTGCAGGAGGACATTTCTCCTCCAGTGTGGGCTGCACACAGGTGCTAAATGATTTAAAACAATTTATTTTACATAAAAATTCCACACGGATCGTGTGGCTCATCCATCAATCAGCCGATTGGGTCAGGTCCACTCTTATTTAGACAAACCGCGATAGAGCGAGTCGGTGAAACTTGAACTGCGAAGTAGCGAGGGACTGCTGTACATGACCATGGGCTCAAGTACAGCAGATTACTGAACACAACTTTTCAACTGATATTGTCGAGTGCAACATGAGAATCATTCATTGTTCACGACTGAACTGCTGCAGCTCCTCCAGTTGGTCCATCCCTCAGTGACGGGGACAAACTTGTAAAAAGTCAGAGATGTCCAACATCATCACCTCCCTCACGTTTTCTGCTTTGTTTGTACAATTAATACTCGGAGGGAAAGTGTGGGAATATCTTCTAGTCTTCATTGTTCATCATCAGGACGAAGGTCCGAGCAGCTGCGTCTTCACTCCCACACTCATGTTTCTTATGAAGAACAAGCGTTTGTCCTCAGGCTTCTTAGATTTGTCTCCAGGAGGACCGTCTGTGAGGGTTCCATGAGCGTGCACGTACAAACCCACAGTTTGCATGTGTTTAACTTGCACACAATCTTCTCTTTCTATGCATGTTGTAGCTTTGAGCATGATGTTTGATCGGCGTTCTGTGAATGAGATCAGTTGTGTTGAACAGTGTTGCTGTGTGGAGGATTTCTCCTCCTGAACTCTTGGACTTGTTCAGACGTCCTCCTCCAGGAGCTGGTTGATCATGTGATAGAAGCCACGTCACAGAATGTCTATAAAAGTCTCATTTGTTCTCCTCCCGTCCACTCTTGCACCCTTGCCCTCTGACTTTCAGCATTTCTAGCGACCTCGTCTCTCTCCTGGTCCTCCTCCTCCTAGTTTAACCTGTGCTTGCTCCTCCTCCTCCCCCCCTCTGCAGGCTGGTGTCCCTCCATAGTCTCCCCTCTAAGCGGCAGTGGGCCTGCTGCCCTGGACAGTAGGCAACATCTGCTCCTCCAAGCTGCTTCCCAGGGAAATGTCACTTTATTGTCAATGCTGCTTAACCAACCAGACTTGAGCACCTCCACCACCTCCACCTCACCGCCCCCCATCATCACCTCCACCAGTTCTGTGGAGGACAAGCCCGTTCTTCTCGACCCAGACTACCACCTCATCCACATCCAAACCTCTGCCTTGTTTGCTGCTGCTCAGAAAGGACAAACAGGTAAATGCACCTCCAGCGTGTGGAGCTCAGAGTGTTCAGGTCACCAGAGGTCATTCATTAAACCTTCAACTGTTTTAGACAAAGTTCAACCTGCTCTTTGTTCGTTTCTTATTATTTACAGTGATCTATAAAGTAATGGCTTTAACACATTTGGTTTTGGCCTAGATGAAGATTTACTGGTTTGATTTGTTTATTAATGACAAATAAGATCAACCTTAGTCTCAGCTCCTCCAAACCTGAGGCCGTGGTCCTCAGAGGTGGATTGTTCTCTTCAGGTCCAGGGTGAGGTTCTGCCTCAAGTGGAGGAGTTCAAGTATCTCAGGGTTTTGTTCACGACTGAGAGAAGAATGGAGCGTGAGACTGACAGATGGATTGGTGCAGCGTCTGCAGTATTGTGGACTCTGTGCCGGTCCGTTGTGGTGAAGAAGGAGCTGAGCTGTAAGACAAAGCTCTCTGTTTACCAGTCGGTCTACGTTCCTCCCCTCACCTCTGGTCATGAACTCTGGTAGAGACTGAAAGAATGAGATCGTGGATCCAGGAGGTTGAAATGAGTTTCCTCTGCAGAGCTGGACTCTCCCTTAGAGACAGGCTGAGAAGTTCAGCTATCAGGAGAGACTCAGAGTAGAACCACTGCTCCTCCACATCCAGAGGAGACAGTTGAGGTGGTTTGGGCATGTCTGACTGGGAGGAGACCCCGGGGAAGACCCAGGACACTCTGGAGAGACTACATCTCTCTGTTGGTCTGGGAACACCTTGGAGTCCTCCCAGAGGAACTGGAAGAGGCTGTGGAGAGAGATGTCTGGACCTCCCTGCTCAAGATGCTGCCCCTGAGACCTGAGTCCAGAACCAGAGGAAGATGATGGATGGTCGACTGGTCAGTCAGTCGACCGGTCGGTCGGTCGTAGCAGGCCTCACATTTAAAAATTTTTAACTGACCACAGATTATTTATCTATAATTCAATCTCAGTGGAGTTCATGTTAGTTATGTGCAAGTCATGTGCAGTTTGTCTTATATTTCTACATTTATTTATTTAAATTCATCCTGCTGCACCGTTACATTCTTCCATGTTGTTCAGTGTCTCTCTTCAGGACCTTGTAAATATTATAATGACTTTTTCACGTTTTTGTACTTGTTGTGTGACCATGACATCACAGCAGTCAGCTGATACATGACATCACAGCAGTCAGCTGATACATGACATCACAGCAGTCAGCTGATACATGACATCACAGCAGTCAGCTGATGACTGAGCAGCCGTTACAACAATCAGCTTTCTTCATTCTTTCTTGTTTATCCATCAGAGGCCAACAGTCGTGTTCCTTTGTGGAATATATCAGAGTACTTTGTGTACTTGAGTCATG